AAAAAAAAATACACACACACGTGAAGATGAAGCTCTAAATTAGGAAAGAAATGAAAAAAGTTAATTGTCATAAAGAAGTAAAACTGGTATTTTCTTTAAATGTCAGTTACATAATAACAAATGAATAAAATTCCCCTAATCTTTGGTGTTTTAAAACCACAAACAAATGACCCATGTGGAGTATATGCCAATGCTTAGCATAGGCTGAGCCAGTGTTTCTTAATTAAATGACATATCAGAATCACTTGAGAAGTTTTTAAAAAATAGGTGTGCCTGGGCTGGCCCGTTAGCTCAGTTAGTTAGAATTCGGTATTATAAAACCAAGTTCAAGGGTTCAAATCCCAACAACAGCCAGACACAAAAAAAAAGAAAGAAAAAGAAAACTTGTGCCCACATTCCTCTCACAGGTTTCTTTGGAGAACTTTAGGGGAAGTGGGAGTTACATGTTTTTGGGGGAAAAAAATCCCCAGTGATTTTGACATCGCCCCACCAATTTTGAAACTCACCTGAAGGAGAAAAAGCAAAATATTCTTCCTCAAATACCTCATTTTTTCAGAGAATAAAGTACAAATATGTCCATTATAATTATAGGAGGATTTTTTTTTCCCCACTGATATCCTCAGAAATTTCAGTTTCTTAGTTCACATCAAAAATTAATCACCACATTAGCTCATGCTTGAAATTCTTCCAGACAGGAAAGCTTGTCAACAAAACACTATAAAAAACTTCCTCCCTCTCATGCAGTAGTTAGTTTTAATGTGTAAAATCAAATAAAATCACACAGCAATCCTTCTCTGAATTAGAATACACTCCATTTTCTTTAACCCCATACTCTCAGAAGTGTTGGCCACTAATATCTTCGAAGAAATTAAGCAAGTTAGAAAACAGTGAATTGTCAAAAATATTTTCCCATCTAGCCTGACCAGCCCGATCCACGCCCCTGCTTGCTCTGTGGGAGGTTATTGCTCACATTGTGGTCTCAAATCGCTCACATAACTTACAGTGTAGTTAAAATCAAGACATTAAGTATTTAAATTGAATCTTATGTCCCTATTTTACTATCTCAAAAATACTAACAAGTGTCTATTGTTCTCATACTAAAGACTCTTGCTCTGGAGTTATTAGTGAACTTTATGATCCATAGGGTGAAATATGCAATAGTTTATGATGCTAGTTCAAATTATTTTTCTACTCTGTTATTTTTTAATGTATTCTCAAAGAACTTTAAAATATGAGGACCCGTAGACTGAGTTTCTTTCCAGTCTATAAAAGGAGAAGGAAAGAGAATATACTGAGTTAAAATGTAAAATGCTTCTGGTTGGCTTCTAGTATGGCAGAGGCAAACAATTTGTGTTTATAATGTGTGGCTACAATCTTCAGCTCAGTATTTTACAGTGCTATACTGATATTTTTTTAAAAATACCAGTTAGGTATTCATCTGACCATCACTTGCTAATTTCCTTCCTTCCCCAACCACAGTCTTCAGCTCAGTATTTTACAGTGCTATACTGATATTTTTTTTAAAATACCAGTTAGGTATTCATCTGACCATCACTTGCTAATTTCCTTCCTTCCCCAACCACATAATAGAAGCTACTGAAATATCAGTGATCCCAAGGGTAAGTTCCTACTGTCATTTAAACTCCAGAAGAGAATACACTTGGTTTGTTTTGGTTTGCCTGTTTCATAGGAGATGTCAGGAAATGAATGAATGAAATGATGAAACATACAAATAAACATTTATGTCCTTTCCTTGAGAAATTTACATTAAAATATTCCTGACCAAATTTGCAAGATGATATTCAAGTATATCAATGCTGAGATTTCCCTCATTAAGGTCAGATTATGTCACCACTAGTCCCTACTATTTCTGTCCTCTACCGACTTCCAGCTCATATCCCTCATTTCTCATTGAGGTCCTGACTCACTGTGTCACTATCTCCAACACTACTCCCATCTTAATTCTTGATGACTTCAGTATAAACAGAGTTTGGAAGAAGGCAGGGTCATCTTAGTAATCTTACTATGCAGTTGGCAAAATTGTAGTTAAGGAAAATTTGAAGTTGAATATGCTTTTAAAATGCCAACAATCAGATGAGTATATGGACTCAAAACCTTTCGGATGAACTGAAGTATAACAGTTCATAACATTTAAAAATTTGTTTTTATTCTGTTATTTTAATTTTTGATAATTTGATTTTGTTCTCAAAAATAGACATCTTGTAAATGAACAGAGTCGAAAGAGTAAGATGATAAGCTTCTTGAGGGCAGAAATCTGGTCTCATATTTCCCCAGACCTGACCCTAAATGTACAATGCCAGTATCGTAAATTCCAGTATTGATTTTAAGTCACAGTTTCCCCCCCACATTTTAACATTTCTAAAATTGGGATCCATCTCATAATTAATAGTGTTTTGTAATGATTTTCTGCCAGGGGGCAGCCATGATGTCGTTTTCATTAATAATTGTGATTATGGTCACTTCAGTTCATAAAATGCATTGTTGGTACTATAAGCGTTAAATTTAATTGCCATTTTAAAATATCTTCAAAAAGTTTGTACTACGATTTGATATTCAGAGGAAAAGTTATTACGTATGCAGAAATGCATCAACACAGAGCAGCAGGGTGCAAGTTTGATATCAGTGAACCACATATTCATTGTTGGAGGAGCGACTGCAATTCTGTATCCCTTGCAAAGCAACAACCAGCTGCTTTATGGGAGCTAAGAAATGATGGTACAAGCAAAGGAAACTGTTATTTTGCTACTATTTTGTTACTGAGGTATAAGCAAAAGAATTACCTTTTATATGCCAGGCTGTGCAACTCAGGGCAGGAGAATTTGCCAAATCCTTCAGAATGGATAAAGTAATTTTCAAAGCAATGATAGACTGATGGGATGGATTCATATGTACAGAACCATTGTGAGGTATTTTGTCATAGTTTAATTGTCATAAAATAATGGTGTCTCTTATAATTGTAGGTGTCAGATTTGATAAAATATGAAATGTATATATTGATTGTTCGCTTTCTTGCTTGATTGATGATATGAATTTCTTTTAGATTCAATTTAATTTCATTCATTTGTTGTTTAATGGCGATAATTCATGGTTTCTTTTTTTTAGCTATATTTTCTGGTTGTGAATTCATTTAACTCTTTATGTCTCAACTAAAGGAACTGCGGTCTGAGGTGGAACTGGAAGTTTTAGGAGACACAGAAGGACTCAATCTGTCATTCACAGCTATTTGTAACAACAATACCCTCTTCCCCCACCAAAAGAAATGCTCTCACATGAAGGTGGGAGACACAGTAAGTAGAGGGCCAATAAACCATCTGAAAAAATATTTGGGTGGGTCAGAAGTTAGCTTAGCTCACTGAAGGTGGACTTCTTTCAAGAATTTCAAGAGCAATTCACAGAGATTTCCTAATAAACACTTTTGGCAGTGCTAATTTCCATGCAGGTTTGTTTCACTTCTTGCATTTTGGTGGATGGAGGAAGCAGATAATTAGTATTTTCTTTTCCAGGCTTCATTCAGTGTGACTGTGAGTGTACCAAACTGCGAGAGAAAAAACAGGCACATTGTCATAAAGCCTGTGGGGCTGGGAGATGCCCTAGAAATACTCATCAGTCCGGAATGCAACTGTGACTGTCAGAAGGAAGTGGAAGTGAACAGCTCCAAATGCCACAATGGGAATGGCTCCTTCCAGTGTGGGGTGTGTGCCTGCAACCCCGGCCACATGGGTCCTCGCTGCGAGTGTGGCGAGGACATGCTGAGTACAGATTCCTGCAAGGAGACCCCAGATCATCCCTCATGCAGCGGAAGGGGTGACTGCTACTGTGGGCAGTGCATCTGCCACCTGTCTCCCTATGGAAACATTTATGGGCCTTACTGCCAGTGTGACAATTTCTCCTGTGTGAGACACAAAGGGCTGCTCTGTGGAGGTAGGCTACGTCTAAATCCATCTTAGACTGCGGTTGCTCAAGTATCAGGAAGGGGCTTTGTATCTTCTGCACCTTCCACAGTTTCCTGGGCATAGTAGGTGCTCAATAAATATTTGCTGATTAACTTCAGACCTAGCGTAACTGAATCTTCTAATCTTTTTTTCTGGCTTTAACTGTCACTTGGGGTGAGATCACTGCCAACTGAATTTGATTCTCTATTATTTTTTCCCTAAGAGTACGTAGGTAAAATGTGGAAATGCCTTCCTTCTGGTTATCACCCAGACTCCACAAAAGTGCCTGCAGTCTGAACTCCATTATCTTCCAGACTTTTCTGGATCAAGCTGCTAGATCTGACCCAACTCCTAAATGCCCATTACTTTAGAAAAATAAAAAGTTAGACTGCTAAAAGAGCATCCTGCCAAGGACGAGGAGCACAAAAATACTAAATGGACTTTCAAGGCCTTCACTCAGTCATTCCACAAATGCATATTAAATACCTATTATGTGACAGATATTGGTTAGGCACTGAGCATAATAAAGATGAGTAAGGACATATGTGAAGAAGCCTTTGGAAAGGATAAAAATGAAAAATTACTTAGAATTTCTTGAGAAATTTGAGAAAAGTTTAGAAATATTTTAACATCCTTTGTAAATGTAAAATTACTGTGGTTTTAAAATATATTACATATAACATGACTTATAAGATCATTCTGATATATTTAAGTACGATCTATTCAGACAAGAATTATAAATGTTAATATACTTTAAAATGATATAATTTGTATTACAATTGAAATATTGACTGCTGAATTTAAGCTCCAGTGTCTGTTTTTCACAGTATATAAGCAGACAACTCTTCAAAACAGAAAGCCATTATCTTTATAGAAAACTAATAAGCAAGTTATATTTTAAAACCACAGTGTCAGCAACATATAAAAGAGGCTAATTTTCAGGGGTGGGGGGAAGATCTGAGAGAAAGAAGCCTCAAAGAATCCCAAGCTATTTGAAAACCACTTGATACCTTTAGACGTGTACCTGCCTTTTATTTCTTCGCTGCTGCCGTTGCTACCAATAGGTTCTCCTGAGAAAACCTGCCTTCCCCCCCACCCCCGCAAGATAGCGAAAGATTTAGGGTCTTTCTGATCATGACCCATTTCTCTCCCCTCTCATTAGAAGGTTTCTTTCCTGATCTAGTTGGATGTGTTTCTAAACCCACATAAGTCCTCTTTCCACATGATGCAGACAGGACACTGTCTGAAGGTGACAAGAAGCTAGCCAAAGTCTGTCACCACATCATAGAAAGAATATATTTGGCAGAATCACACACCGCCTTTCTAATAAAAATCTTTTCATAAAATACATGCTCAAAACATTTGAAATTACCTTTCAAAAAAGGCTTAAGCGTAACCTAGTAAAATATAGTAGCAATACTAGCATCACCTAGGTTTTGCCCTTTAAATCTTGAACCGAAGAGATATCAGGCAGTGTAAATTGCTGACCTGCATTCAGCAACACAGCATTTCTTGACGGTCTTTCACTTTATTTTGTATCGTGCATGAGGAACAGAAATAAACTCAGAAAGAGTTGACTTGATTGTGCATTGTAGTTAGAAAGGTCAGACAATAGTGCCACTCCTTGAATCAACTACAGTGATTGCTAAAGAAATTCTATTTAGAAAATACAATGATTTCTTCAGCTGTACTCAGAAAAGTTCACCAGAGCCAATTTCCTTCATACTTGGGCAGCACTTTATGATCCTCAACCATTACTGTTTCTCAAAAGCTGTTTTGTTTCTTAGTAACATCACAAAGGATGCTACTTTATAATTAGTAACTTTCTCTTTTAAAAGGTACAATAAAAATAAATACAATTTTCAAATTCAGCAAATAGTTATGGAGTACCAGCTATGTGCCTGGCATTGTGCTTAGCACAGGGATAAAAGTTGTGCCTGGAATTTTGGGTAGACACTCTACTGCTGTTGTTGCTGGCAACAACAGACCAAATTTGCAACAGCTTCACAACTTGTGTTCATATCACATATATTATAACTAATATACTTGGCAACAAGACACTTTTCTGAAAGGCTATTACCACAATGTTTTTTTGTTTTTTCATGGAACTTCTTTCATCCATCTGTAGGTGCTCAAAGATATAGGGCTCCATTGATTTTTCTCCTGGTCCAAATTCCATTATTTTCTTATATTTTGATTCTAAGAAACTGGAAACTCTAACAAGCAACCAGCATTAGAGAAAAAACTTTCTGCCATTATGCACTTACAGTTTACCAATGGCATTCCAGAAAGATCTGTCCCTCTAAGAAGAGCCTGGTCATTTTTTCTCGATCTTTGGTTATCATCTTGCCTCTGCATGAAACCAATATGAAGATTTTATTGTTGTTGTTGTATGAACAGGTACCTTAAATAATTGGTTGCTTGAGTATATCAATTAGCAAATTTTGTGACCAAGTTGATGGTTCTGGAAGACCAGCAGAGAGGAGGATTTCTAAATTCTGAAAAGAGCTCTTTGTGTTTTTGCTATGATGATCTTTTTCTATTGCTCTAGGAAGGGTCTTCTAAATTTCTGCCAAGTAATTCTTACATGCAACGATACACTTGGGCATTCTCAAAGCGGATTTCTAAATTCTGAAAAGAGCTCTTTGTGTTTTTGCTATGATGATCTTTTTCTATTGCTCTAGGAAGAGTCTTCTAAATTTCTGCCAAGTAATTCTTACATGCAACGATACACTTGGGCATTCTCAAAGCATTTAGAATTGCACATTTCATTTACTAAAATTTATAACTCATATTAATTTTTCAGAATAAACTGCAATACAGAAATTTCTCCCTATCATGAAATTAAGTTTTTCCTTTGGCTGAGGAAGAAACAAACATATATTGTTGTTTAGAAGATCTCTCTCTTACATATACAAATGAAATTAATGGCTTTAGTCCAAGTCACTTAATTATTCCCAGCTTTAATCACACCCACACCCTGAACATTCCACCCCTTTCTTTTGAAAGCCCAATTATGAATTACAGGTTATGAAATGCAATTAGAATATGTATTAATGTCATGGATCCAGATAAACTTCCACTCATCTTTCATCAATGACGTATGTCTTTTTAGTATATATAGTATGTTTAGAGAGAGAGAGGAGAAAGAATAAGAGGGAAAGTGTGTATACATATATACATGTGTGTATGTATATATACACACATAACAGGAACGATCAGAATCCAACCATCAATTCGATGTCAAGGCTTCATTAAATTTCAACCCATTTTTCATTATAGAAGTGTCTTTTTAGTGCACAAGTATATGTGTGTGTGTGTATATATATATATATATATATATATTATTTTTATATATATGAAGATTTTATTATATATACACCAGAGGTGTTTATACACACACACACACACCCCCCAGAGGTCTTCAAAAAGTTCACAGAAGAATTTGTATTGTGTTTTAATTCAGTTTTTCTATAAACTTTTTGAAGTATTCTCACACACACACATGCATACTAAATTCATATACATGGTTCAACTTATAATTTTTTGACTTTATGATGGGCTTATTGGGAGGAGCATCTGGATATACAGGGTACTTCAAAAAGTTCATGGAAGGGCCGGCCCGGTGGTGCACTCAGTAGAGTGCGGCGCTTGGGAGTGCGGCGGCGCTCCCGCCGAGGGTTCGGATCCCATATAGAGACCGGTCCGCTCACTGGTTGAGCACGGTGCGGGCACGACACCGAGGGTTGCGATCCCATTGCCGGTCGCAGTACAGGCGCGACACTGAGGGTTGCGATCCCGTTACTGGTCACGAAAAAAGACAAAAAGGAAAAAAATAAAAAATAAATAAAAAAATAAACAAAAAGTTCATGGAAGATAGAATTAAAACATAATATGAATCTTTCCACAATCTTTTTCAAGACCGTTATATATGCCACATAATGACATTTCAATTTACAACAGTGGTCCCATAAGATTACAATACAGTATTGTTACTGTACCTTTTCTATGTTTACATACACAAATACTTACCATCACGTTACAATTGCGTACAGTATCAGTACAGTTATGTGCTGTAACAGGTTTGCAGCCTAGGAGCCATCGCCTATATCATGTAGCCTAGGATACACTAAGGCTGCACCATCTAGGTTTGTGTAACTATACTCCACGATATTCCCACAATGACAAAATTGCCTAATGCTGCATTTCTCAGAACCTATCCCCATTGTTAAGTGGCACGTGACTGTTTATATAAACCAGGAGCATTCAGAATCCAACTTCAAAGTCTTTGTGGTTATCTTCTCTGTTCTGTGATTTTTGACCAAGGCAGGGCATTAAGCTCTGAGTCCCTTCAGGCCCAATTATGAAGATAGATAAGTAACCAGCTAATAGACCAAAGTGTATAAGAGAAAACCCAGAATCATTCTTTCTGTAGTGAATCTGGCAATGTCTCCTGCAAGTGAAAACTTGCCTCACTTGTGATTTTTTTTTTTACATCTGTTTTGTTTTCAGTAAATGTATAGGAATTTTAATACTGATGGGTACTTCTTCATACTGGAGGGGTTTTAGGAATAATGCTAATAACTAACACTTATATAGTGCTTATTTATAGGCCATGCACTGTTGTAAACACTCATATATTGTCTTAGGTAGTCCTAAATTTTGCTGGAAGAGCAAAACTTGTGAGGCAAAATTGTGAATGAGCATTTCATTTTCTTTTGAAGAAAAGTATCAGTTAATGGGAGCTTGTAAATAAATGTTATTTGTTTGGAACATCAAATACCTATTTTAGTATTTTGAGTATAGCAGGCACCCAAAAAAATATTACAGAATGAAAGCATAAGCCCTTATCTTAAACACTTTGTCATTTGGGAGTATTTTGTACACTATCATGTGGCCAAATCCAAAAGGGGCTCTTTGGGATTAGATGAATACTTGGCAGCAAGTGTTCATGTGCCTTTTCTCCAAGCTGTCTCTGCTCCAGGCTTCTGCAACATCGCTCCCATTCCCCTCCTACCTCTCAGTCTCTTCTGTGAGGATCCTTTTCTCTGGTCACGTTTTAAATGCTGATGCTCTCCAGAGCTTTTCTCATTCTACCTGCTTTCCCTAGATGACCTGATCTGCAGCAGCTTCAACTGCCTTTCCCTGACGGATCCCAAACCTCAAATATTCAGCCCCCTACTAAGATGTCCCACAGGCCTCTCAAACTCAACAGAGCCAAAAGTGAACTTGTTATCTTCCCCATGTAAAGCGCTTTTCCTCCTCTGCTTCAGAACCAGCTATTCATTCAACAGTGAGCACTGCTCTGTGCCAGGCACTGGGGATTCAGCTTCCATCCCAGGTCAGGGAATCATCGTCCTAGATGCCCAGTCTGGTCACCTGGGGAGGATTCCATCCCTCTTTCTCACCTCCCCTCCTGGCACCAATCACACCCACGCCCTGAACCTTCCGCCCCTGAATTGCATATCCTTTGCTCTCCCTTCCCACTGGCTCAGCTGGCGTTCAGAGCCTCGTATCTTCTTGCCTCTACTCCTGCAAGAACCTCCTAACTGGTTTTCCTGTCTCTAGTTTGGTCCTCTCTATTGATGTCAGGATATTTCTAGACACGTACTATGTGTTCAGGTCTCTCCCCTACTTAAAATTCTATAACTTTTAGGGAAAAAAAAATCTTACTTTAGCTCATATGGCTTTTCATGGTATGAGTTGACTTTTTCTTGACCCTTTCTTCCTCTCCTCCTGCCATACCCCAGATGCACCTTTGGCTCTATGCATATGAATCTACTGTGGATAGTAAGCAGGTCACACGATTCCACACTTCTGTCATTTACCTATGCCTTTTTCTCTGCCTGAAATGCATGTAACCCTCTTCTTTTAACTATCTTTTGTTTTTATCTTTCAAATTCAGCTCAAGCATCACTTCCTCTGGAAACTTCCCCAAATCTCCAGTTTAATTTGGAAATTCTTCTCCTGTGTATATAGCACTTATTATACTGTACTGTATTTGGTAGTAGTAGTTGTATTTATTTGCCTGCATCCTACACTGAATTATAAATTCAGTGACCTTGTCTTACCCTCAGGCCTAATACAATCTTTGTCACATAGTATATGCTCAATTAAAGTTTGTTAAATAATGAGGGCTGGCCAGTTCACTCGGTTGGTTGCTGTGTGGTTCTAATAATCCCAAGTTCCAAGGTTTGATCCCTGTACTGGCCAGTGCAAAAAAAAAAGCTTGTTAAATAATGAATTTGTTGAGCATTCATTGTATGCCTATGGGACATCTAACTGTTGAATGCAAAACTAGAGATTTACACTTTATTTCATCTGATCATAACCATTGGAAGTAGATTTTATTCCATCTGTTTTAGAGATGTTTCATGATCACTTGGCTTGAGTGATATAGAGGGGTCTATCTTGCACCTCTATCCTATAGCATCTTAATTAAAAGCAATAATTGAAAACAACAATAAGTATATATGCATACGCACATAAAAGGGCACACATGCATATGCACACACCAAGTAACTATTGTGATCTTTCTGCATTATGACATTTCATCTGGTTATAAATTCTTTTTGACATATCATGAAGTAATCAAGTGGATCTTCAGTTAGGGAACCACGTCAATAATAAACACAGCAAAACACATTCAATAAAATTTATCTGAACTCACACTCTTCCCCCGACACACTTTTTTCTCATTTTTCTCTTCAGTCTTTTAGATAATGTATAAAAGCAAAGAGAAAAGATGTTCCCCCACCCCCACCCCCAAATCTTCAAGTGGTTTTGGCCATGAAAAGCATAGAGCGTTTCATTTTACAGACAACGGTGACTGCGACTGCGGTGACTGCGTGTGCCGGAATGGCTGGACTGGTGAGTACTGCAACTGCACAACCAGCACGGACTCGTGCGTCTCTGAAGATGGAGTGCTCTGCAGTGGGCGAGGGGACTGCGTTTGTGGCAAGTGTGTTTGCACAAACCCTGGAGCCTCAGGACCAACCTGTGAACGATGTCCTACCTGTGGTGACCCCTGTAACTCTAAACGGTAATGTCTCTACTCTCTTCAGCCCCTTTTGTGGATAGGTTTCATGGTGATCAAAGTTATAATGACATTTTGTAAACTCAGACCTTAGATCGTTTTTGCTGGGTTTGGTCTCTGAGCATCCATCAAAACACAAGGCCCCTGTGATCCTTAGCCTGGAGTGTCAGTCTCTCAATTGCCTTTTTCTCAGTCCTGATTATCCAGAATCACAATGTCACATTTCTGCTAGAAACTAGCATGGGGAAGTCAAGCTGATGTCCCACACTGATACCATTAACTCACCTCTCAGTTACAATGCCAGCCACACATAAGGAATGTCCGGGGGGTAGACCGACGACGACCACATGCAGTCGGGACGTTTTCAGGGGAAACAGACAAGCTCCTTTCTTATCTAGAAGTTTGTAGCCTGACCTTACTGGTTCATTCCTATCTATAGATTCATGGAGGCAAAGAGGCAGAAAGACAGTCCTAGTTTTCAGTCCCTTCCCTCTTCTCTACCACCATGTTCTTTGGCACCTTTCTTTGGTTCTCTTTATACAGAGCTATTGTGTATTGTATTTTCTTTTGTACCATATGAACAATACCAATAACCAAAAACCCCACATTTTCTTATTTTCCAGTAAGAAAAGTATTTCTTTAGTTGGCAGCTAACTTCTAGATGGAATTGGGGCACAGTTTGCAGGTCAAATGAAGCAAGTCTCCAAAATGGCTGTGGTGCTATTACAGTGTATAATGTACCATGCAGCAAATATGCTTAAGCGGTTCATGTTTTCATTAACTCTGGTACCCCAAATAGTGACATTTGCATTTCTGACATAAACAGAGTGAGAAAATCAATTTTCACTCAGTGGCTACTCACCATTCAGGTGTCAAAACTTCTCTGTCATTGTACCTGGCAAAGTAAGACATATGCCAGGAGAAGTGTGGGGATATGATTAGAGTTATTTAAATTGAATCTAATGTAAAATGTCCTTTCAAAATGTCTCTTCTTTTGCTTTTATATTTCATCTGCTCTGTAAACATGATTCAGTCTTAAATCTGATTTATGAGATATGAAATTAACAATCAAAGTAGTTTGAATTTGTGGAATCATGTAATCTCCTTGGTGTTTGTGTTAGTTTTGAGATGAGTCCATTCTTCCATTTATTCATATATGCATTCATTTAACAAACAGGCAGTGAGTACCTACTTTGTGTTAGGCCATGGGCATGCAGTGATGACTGAAACAGTTATAGTTCCTTCCTTCACAGGTGCTGAGAGTCTAGTGAGAAAGACTTTTATTTAAAAAATGATTACAATGCTATCTGGGATGACAATTACAGTAGAGGACATAGAGGGTGTGATGGAACCATAAAGAAGGCAGGGCTACCATCCTGCTGGTACAGCCATCAGTGAGATGTGTAAAGGAGTAGAGATTTTAAGAGCTTCCACGGTCTCCATCAGGCCCCTGCAGACCTACTCCAAATAAACATAATCTAGATAAATGCAATATACTTGCAATGCCAAGGCAACTTCACAAGGCCCCTATCCCCACTCCCACATAGGTTGCTGCTTCTAAGCCCTTTCTGTAGAGAAATTCTGACGCTTCCGCCACAAGGGAACTCATAGGTCTAAGAGTTAGAGAAGGTCTGCCTGTAGAAGTGCAGTTTCAGCTGAGATTTGATAAGGCACGGGTAGGAGTGGGAAGTGTTTCAAGCACTTGGAAGGGTGTCCATTTAAATGGCCAGAGGGGAGAGAGGCAGTGTGATGGGTGCCCACAGTGAGAAGGGGTTTGCTGTTTTGAGTTATTCCAAGCACAATCTATTTGTAAAGTTATTTTCAACACAAGATTAATTCAGGGTCTAAATTTTACTTTGGTCTATAGACATCTTTAGCATAGCTTAATTTCTGGACTATGTTCTTGAAAATACACTTTCTATAAATAGCTATTTTTTATTAAAAAGCCTGCATTAATGAGGATCCAGGCTCTAATCCTCAGCTTCCGAAAATAACCCCATCAAGGCTTGGACTTTTTCAAGAGAGTTACAGAAAAGTGAACTTCTAAAATAATCATATATGATGTATACGAACACCACTAGTCATTCTTGGAATTCTGGTCAAGATATAGACAATTTCTGTTAAGAAATTCAAAACGTTATCTAGTCTATAATCATATTTTAGGAACATAAGCTCTCCCTAGGAAAAATTAAAATGAAAACATAGCTAAATACCAAAATAACATTAATAAATATTAATTGTACTAAATAATTTTTTAAACTTAACCAATCAGAAGCAATCATTAGAGATAAATGAGGATAGTAGTTGTTATCAAGGCTGGCTCAGAGAACATTGATTACTGAGTGGAATTCACAATAATTCAGTGTCCTCTTGGACATCACCCAACCATCTTTCTGAAAGTAACAAAAGGCAGTATCATCTATAAGACGGTCCTATAGCATAAACTGTAACAATAGCAGTAAAGCCATTCTCCAGCTCCATATCAAATTTTCCCCCAACATGAACTGATAAACTCTGTTGACTACTGTCCACAGGAGCTGCATTGAATGTCACCTGTCTGCAGATGGCCAGGCCGGAGAAGAGTGCGTGGACAAATGCAAACTAGCTGGTGCAACCATCAGTGGAGAAGGTTCTACTTTTCTGATATTGCTTTCATTTCCTTTACATAGTTCTTGAGAGGCACAACTCTGTGAATTGAGGGCTTTTCAGTAGCTTGAGCTCATTTACCAGAGCATTAGCTCATTCACATTTGTTTTTTAAGACTAAATTCATTCTATAAGGCCAAAAACTTGATGGCTTGGGATACAAGCAGTTTAAAGTCATGGCTATTCTATTTGACTTAAGCTCTGTTGGCAAGTTCACCTCTGCTTAACAAATGCAATTGTAGAGAATTCCAGAATGCTACATTTTTCAAACTAGAAAAGAAGAAAATTGAAGAAATAGCTAAATGTTAACCCCAAACCTGGAATTGTCCTCTGTCATCTGATAGCCCTATTTCAAGAGAAGATAAAACCAGCTGTAAAACAGTTTTCCTGATAGCAGCTCCCAGATCCTGGGTGGTTTCTGGTCAGAGTCCATTTTTCCTCCCTTCTGTGGGCTTCTCCTCCTAACCTTCCAAACTTGACCATCCTTAATCACTGCTGCCTCACCCTGAAATACAAGAAGGGCCTGTCACCTTCAAATGCTAAGTAAACTCTGCTGTCACTTTCATCTGTGATTTTAAATTTAGTTACTTAAGATCGGATTCTTTCTAATGGCAAATTTTCATCTCAAATATTTAACTAGATTGTATTTTAGCTGGGAAGGCCATTTAAAAAATAATTTGTGAATTTTAAAACAAAGGAGATGATTGACTCCTCCTAAAGGGACAATCTGGGGGATCTGGTTCTGCATCATGACAAACTCTCTGCATTGTCATGTTGCTCAGGGAGAATTGCTGCTGTGCACACATTAGAGATGTGACCAAGATGTCTCTCAGGTGAAGTGAAGTAATCAAGATAATAATTTATGACACCCTAGGATATGTATCTTGAATAGATAGAATACAGAAATTAATCTGCTTTCAAAATGGAATAAATGACGTATTGTTCTGAAAATCACTTACATTATTCCAAAATTGAGAGTTCTGACTATTCACAGTTGAATTATATAGAGGGACATGATTTGTGTTCGTAAAACCCCTCATCTGTACTTTTCTGGTGATAGACATGCCAAATAGCAGTAAATTGGACAAGATGTACTTACTCTAAAACCAAAGGTAAGATACATTAAAGCAGAGTAAAGTCCACATTAGCAACTAGGACAAAGTCTCAGCAAATCCTTCTGGGTTCATTTCACAGCAGATAGTGGGGATATTTACCAGGTGTTCCTGAGAAATGAGTAAAAATTGCAGAAAATGCCTGCAAATTACTAGACCTCAGTTCACTAGCAACATGGGAAATACAATGTGCTGAGGAAAAACGGAGTAAACCTTAGAAACATGTAAATCGTGATGGCCTGAACAACGTAGTTACTATATTTAAGCACACAATTTTCTGAGTAGATTATCATAAATGCTTGGATTTGAGGGAGGACTAGGGCTCAAGTGGCATTTAAAATATTGACATTCTTTTTGTGTATTTGACTAAATTGTCTTCAAAATAGGGGGATACAACTATTTCTAACTTAGAAGTTGACAATGATAATTGCATTACTAATATCATTTAAAGCACTAATCTGTATGAATCGAGAGAAAAAATATATTTGTCAGACTGCAAGTTAAAAGCCACTTTTCTAACAAGCCTTTTTGTAAGTCCTTTTTCAAGTTACTCACCCAGTTGTATAATTGATTGTACCACCCTGAAATGATCACATCATATTTGCTCTTCCACGGGGTCTTTTAGCGACCTACCCTTCTCCCAGCAAGGACGTGGAGAGTAAAACAAAATAAGCATAACTTTATAATCTCTATGAATTGTTTCTCAGTTGTACTGTGAGTGACTTGGGTGGGCACATCTAAGGACATGTGATTTAACCTTACTCATTCCACTTTACTGAAAGAGTCATGTTCTTAATTTACCCCCACATTCATGCACTGAGTATTGTTACTCAAACTGTGTTCTATGGAACACTAATTCTGAAAGTGTTAAATGAGAAAAAGCAACCATGATCACATACATTTTACAAAGGAGAAACTAAGTTTTTGTTTTCTTTGCAAGACTTCTGAGTGTTGCTATGCACATTAAATTAAAGGTGAATCGAGGGGCAAAGGGAGAAATCAGAGTCAAGGAGGGTTTCCCAATCTTACTTGACCAAAGAGCCCTTTTTTATCCCTTGAGAAACTGTTTTCTTTGAGAACTGCTAACTGATCCCAGAGCTGAGGTCTTAAATACATGGTTGTCTTGACTCAGTGGTGCAGATGGTTTATATTTTCCACATCCTTCCTAGACCTTCCCAGACCCCACCTCCCCGCTTCTCATATTTCTTCCTTCTCTAAGTGTGAGTTCACGGACCGCCTGAGATCTTATTTTCATTGTATTATTCTAGAGCGCACTGTAGGCCTTCAAAAGGAGGGTAAAAAAAAGGACTCATTTTTTATGAACAACAAAAGAAAACCTTAGTAGCTAATTATGCAAATCTTTTGTTGCACATTCGACAATACTGTTTCAACACCCAAACACTACAAAACAGGCTACATCTAGAGCTATAACAGTCATGAAAAGGGGTAGTGAAGTAATTAAAGCAAGACGGGAGTTGTGACTCAAAGGTCATATTCGCAGTTCCATTAAAACTCAAATAGTCCTGGCCAGGGAAAGTAAGACTCCCTGGGCTTCAGTGCAGCCATTTAAAAGAAAATAAAAAAGCAGGATTAATATTACTGAAAGGGGTATGATAAGCCATCCACATATTTTCCACCTGAGAATTAAATGTTCCATTAAGTATATCAAGAGGGCTGGCCAGTTAGCTCAGTTGGTTAGAGCACAGCCTTGTAACACCAAGATCAAGGGTTTGGGTCCCCATACTTGTCAGCTGTCAAAACAACAACAACAACAACAAAGTATGGTCAAGAAGAGCAGATTGGGCCTGCACTGCCATTGCAGAGAGGGGGAAAGAAGTAGGAAACACTTCAATGTGAAAAAGCACATTCTCCAAGATTTCATGAATCCTGGATAATTGGGGTGGTGAGGGAGAAGGTGTGGTGGAGGCCATCTAAAAATGGCCAAAGTATGAATCATAGATGCAGTGTTATTTGTGATCAAACACATGAAATAACACTGTTTTACTAGTCAAGTGTTGCCCAGAGGTTCCCAAATCTCCTACTCAGATACATCTTATTAAAAATGTTTACTAAAACAACTCACTAAAAGTACAAGTTCCTCTGCATACCACCAACCTCTCAAATCAGAATACCCAGATGTGGGGCCCCAGAATCTACACTTTCAAAACTCCCAGATGATTTAGATGATCATAAACATACTAGAATGGTGAATATACTAGAATGATTTGTAATTAGATTTTGTAATATTCTTATATAAGGAGATGCTTCTAATGGGTTCAAAAACAGTTTGTTCATTTAAATCTATCATCTGAAATCTTATTTATAATTCTAAATGTTTTACCAGTCCCTGTTTTCATAGACAATACTTCACAGACCCTGTCAGGTTTTTATCTTATAAATTGAATGCAAAGACAACAACAAAGAACAACTTAATATTTTTATTTTTCTATGGCTATGGCATTTTTGTACCAAAAATGGGCTATTATTTAATTTTTCTTTCTTAGAATTGGAGAAACACATAGAGCTGTTTTATTAACACCATTTTGTTTTAAAGCTAATGAAAGAGGTTACAAGTCTGAAAAGAGTATGTCCAAAATTATCTGGGACAGCCCCAGTTTTAATATTCTAACTCATTCTGTCATAACCCACTAATATTGGACCACATCTCTTAAAAGTTTAGATTAAGAGCAAATGGTCATTCTATGTACAGGTTTCTAAAAAACAGTGCTTGTAACAACATCATTAAAAAGTCTCCAGCTTAGAACATAGAACTGTTAAGCAAGTTTTTGTTTTTTTTGCTTTGTTTAATTAGGAAAATGCTACATAATTTTGGCATAGGAGCTGGACAACTAGAATTCCTGACAAACAGTACTGACATCTCAGATTGGCCATTTTACTTTATTTTCAATTTCTGTCATGACATTCATTTTCTGCCACTTGAATAGCTCAACAAGAAAGAAATTCTGTTTGGAAAAGATCTGAGGAAAACCGATTTTTTTTTTTTAGATTAAGAAAGGAGCTATATTGAATGATAGGCAAACTGTCATTCTGAGTTCCTTTTCATCTGAGGTTGACTTTTATACTGCTGGTCCCTAGGCTACATAATACTTCAGTCTCAGTTTCTTGGTATTAATTTATGTTTACTATAGTGACAATACATGGCCAGCAATGTTGACTATGCCATTGTTGAGAAAGGTCCCTTGAAAAGTATTAGTATCATTTGGACTGTGCCAAAATGTAATCTAGACATCCTCCCAGATGCTCTCAGCAGCGAATAATATCCAGCCCCTCATTACCATAATCAGGGCGACTCTATTCCCGAGACAGCTGTGGGTACCTGCCTTGAGATTCTCTCACTCTGTTGAAATCCTGCACACATCAGTTTGATACGTACATATGATGGTCAGTCCGAATTGTCCACATCTGGAACTGTTCTGGAATGTGAGTAAAAACTAAAACCTCACTGGCGGGAAAAGTCCTTTGCCTTTTCTATTCCCATTCTGCAATATTGATCATTCTCATTTGCATATTGAAACTCAATATTACTTTGCTTTAAAAATATCTCTTTTGGAATTTCGTTTAACCTAATGAATGACTCCTTTATCTGCAGATTTCTCAAAGGATAGTTCTGTTTCCTGCTCTCTGCAGGGAGAAAATGAATGTCTTATCACATTCCTAATAACTACAGATAACGAGGGGAAAAACATCATTCATAGTATCAACGAAAAAGGTGGGTGCCTTGACTTCCATTGTTAATGGCAAGGGATACTACATAGGAGAAAACATCCAGAAAGTCACTTTGGGTAGCTTGCCAGGAAAGACATTTCCAAATTTTGATGGAATGCCTCTATTTTCCCAAGGATCAAAAGACACTTTTAAAAGGTTTGATATATTTCAAAGTCTCTTATTAAGACCGGGAAACAAGATGACATGTATTTGTACCAATCATCATCTCCCTGGAAGCTGGCTGATGAACTATGGAAAGGCAAACAGGTTAAATGAAATGTAAGCAAAAGGTATATCTTTAGGAAAGGCTAACAGGGAGGAGTCATCATAGTTGTAAAAATGAGTTTGAGTCAGGCAAACCTTGGTTCAAATTCTGCTTCACCATTTAACAGCTATTTGACATTCTGGAAGATACTTGCTTTTCTGAGTCTATTTCCTCATCTGTAAAATGGGAAAAATAATAGTACTTTTCTAAAGGTTGACTCAAGGATTAAGTGGAATAATACGTGTAAAACATGTAGCAATACATAACTTACAGTAACAGGTCATTAAATGACAGTGCTGAATCAGAAAAGACACTAGGCAGCAAGTGAGGAAGGATATGATCTATGAAGGATGTCAAAGAGTCCTTTGCTCTGTGGATTTTCATTCACACCAACTCAACGGAGTTGGGTTTGGGACTTGAGAAGCCCTCAGATAAAAATGTCACATTCAATGAAGGAGAGAGAGAAGTTAATATTAGGTAAAGAAAAAAGTAGTGGAAAAGGTACTTTTGTTGACAAGTTTTCAAATTTTAGTGGGTTTCAGACTCACCTGGGGAGCTTGTTAAAAACTGCCTGTATCCTGAGTCAGCGACCTGATGTGTGGTCCAGGACTCTGCATTTTAACAGCTACCCCTGGCAAGCCTGATCTGGATGGTCCCAATTTCTCTCTTTGAGAGCAACTGTCCTAACAGCACTGGCTGCTTTCTCAGATCCTCCACAGGTGCCTCACATTTTCTGTTTTCAATTAATGATGTGACCCTACCTAAACTGTTGCTGCAGAAATGACAGCCACATTAAATCAGACCTCATTAGACCTTGTCAGCAACCACCTCCTCCTCCAAGAAGTTTGAAGCTTAAGTTCTGCCCCAGACAACAGGGGTAAGGCCCAGCTATAAGGCAAATGTGTTGTTGTGTGTGTTTGCTTGTCAATGTGCTGATAAAATATTAAGTCCTGAATTTGAAACAAAGGGTGTCAAATTGGCATCATTTAAGAGTGTAAAAACCAAAGCAATACCAAGGTAACCAAAATGTAGGTTCAAGACATTATATAACCCAATCAAGAAAACATGAGAAAAATATCACATTGCAGTGCTGAGGTAAGGGAGAGATAGAGGTCGGCACAATCCAAGAAATGCAAAGATGATTGGAACTTGGTCTCGAAGCTCATGTGGGCACAGTGCTCCTGGAGACTCACAAAGAATCTCATGTATTGACTTCTTTGAAATGTATATATAATATGCATCTTATGGCCATTAGGTAAGGAAACATAAGGTGAATCCTGCTGTAGAAAGACTAATGACTTTATAATACAAAAAACCCTGCCTCCCTTTTTTCTGTTTTATAAAGTCAAATTCTCCATCTACACCCCAAACCCTCTGTGGCTTTAACAAGTTATCTTGAAATCAAAGACATTCCTGATAATATCAATTCTATTGGAAAAACAAGTTCCAAACAACAAAAACAACTTTCCAGAATAGGCCCTGTTTTTAATTAGGAGTCTTTTGTGTCTAGTTGATTTGATTTTTTTGTTGTTTTTGTGGTGAAACATGCCGTTGGCTGATAAATGCCTCCTCACTACTGAATTGTTATCTATCCCTTTATTCTTCCAAACAATATGAGTGCCACGTCAACATGCCATCCTTCAGAGTATGCACAGATGCCCTGATTCCTTTTTATCATGGCATTTTATTATCTCTATGCTTTTGTAGTAGAGAAAAAAAAAATGACCTCCCTGAGGCTTAACAGGAGGCACCTGATGGCTCCAAGGGTGCCTCTTCCTCAACAAATGTTTGCGTTCCTGGGTAGGCCTGGCACTTCCGGGAGCCCCGAGGGCAGGGCTTGTCCCCCAAAATCCAGTAGTCTCCCAACTCTCACAGCTTTAAGACGAGAGAATCCCAAGTGGCCAGTTGGAGGCATGGGTAGAAAAGAGACCAAAGGAGGAAGGGGAGGGAGAAGTTAATGATTCCCAGGGCCCTCCGAGCAAATTGGAAAAGGAGCCAAGTAAAAGAGTAACCACCAGGGTGCTTGTCAACATAGGAAGAGATTCATTCATCTTCTTCCTTACATCTGGAGGGACTTTAAAACCGTAAGCACCGTAGCAGAGTCAAGCAATGACAGTTGGGGAGCCTTCCTGGCTGGAAGATGCCAACTACTGTATATGTTAGACCCACAGGTTCCAACTTGGAGGTTCCAGGCCTTTGACATCTTGAGGATAGAAAAGGCAGAAGAGTGCATTTGTTGTAACAATAGTAATATTAATAATAATATAACAGCAGCTCTCATTCGTTAAGCCCTTATGATACTATGTGCCACATGTTCTACATGTTTTACGTGTATTAATTCCCTTAATATCCTCCACAACCACAGAAAGCAGGTTCTACTATTAGTTTCATTTTACAGGTAAGGAAATTGAGGCATAGAGACATTAAATAATTTGCTAGAGCTTACAGTAATTAAGTACCAGAGCCGGTTGAAGCACTCCACTCTGTAATCTGGCTGGAAGCCCATGCTCCTAACCACTGTGCTATACTGCCTCCCACTGGCTACACAATTGTAATAATTACTTGAATTACAAAAAGATCTTAGATCAACATTGTCCAACAGAACTATTAGGCAAACCACGTATATAATTTTAAAATTTTTAGTAATCACATTAAAAGGTAAAAAGAAATAGGTGGAATGAATTTTATTTGCCATTAAATCCAAAATATTGTCATTTCAACATGTAATCAATATGAAAATTACTAATGAGATAGTTTACATTTTTCTCATAACAAGTGTTCAAAATCAGTGTGTATTTTACACTTACAACACAACCTAATTTGGAAAAGTAGTGTATCAAGGGCTTAACAGCCACAGGTGGTAGAGCTACCAGAGCGTTAGATTCTTAGGACCTCAGAGTTAGGTGCAGCACCAAACCACACTTGATAGGCAGCATTGCACAGTGATAGAGTCGACCCTCTTCTCTCACCTAGAAATCTGTCTTTAGTCTGAGTATCTCAAGAAATAGCAAAGAGAGTACGAAAAGTGAAGTCTCTACTGTGTAATACCTGCTCTGGTACTTGGGCCAAAATCTTTTCGAGAAATGTACAATTCCCAGTGGCTTTAAGTTCTTAAAATAATTACTTGTGCCAGGCCGCGCCTATTCCTCCTTTATTCCCTACTGGAGAACCTTCCTAACACACGTTCTAGCTGCAGGATTTTAGCAAGCTTCATCTTGCTTTCAGCAGGAACATGCTACACCCCACCGCAGACATTGCTCAGCCACTGTTAGTGTCAGGTTGCCACCGACACGAGCCTGCTGCTTTCTTTGCAGGAGTGTTGCTAACCTGTTAGAGGCAGCCATAGTTCATTTGCTATGTCAGCATACAGTCTTTAGATCTTTGTACTGTAGTAGCTATGTCATTAGCTCCTTTACTTATTTCTGCACAATCTCCTTACGTGTTTTTCTGGCCAAAGAACAAAAGTGTGTAAGGCCAGACATCATGCTGTTAGGGGGTCATTAGTCCCACTCAGATTCAGATCGGCTGTAGATACTTACCTTAACAGCAGCATGACTAGTCCTATGTGTATAATTCTCCTTATTAAATATCTAAAGGCAATAATAGTTAGAATAAACTAAACATGATCCATTTTCTCCCCAGATACCATGAATTTTGCCTCACTTCTTGCAGAGGGATGCAGATATTTAATGATAACTTTTATGTGGGATTTTTTTCCATGAAAGCAAGAGGAGAGCTTAATTATAATGTTTCATTAAGAAATGTATCATCTCCTAGGCATATTGCAAGGATTATTAGTCATTCTGCTGTCAATGAGGGAAGGTAGTGTATAATTGCAAAATTATATTAATACCATCAATAGAGTCAAAATAATATTTCATAGAATATTCAATTTGAAAGGACCATACACAACATTTAATTTCCAAACTTCTCTGCAGATAAGAATCACTTAGAATACCTTTAATAGTAAAGAAAAAAGTCTGTAGCCTACTCCAGGACCCACTGAATCAGAATCTCAGGGAAGGGGTCTCGGAAGCTGTGGATTTTAATACACATGAGCGCTTCAGCTTATTGTTATCATCAGGAAAGTTAAGGGAACATTGAACTTTGTCTTATAGATGAGTGTCCTGAGTCACACAGAGATCAAGGGACTTGAATCAAACTCACACAGCTACAGTACATCAGATGGGAATTGAACACACCTCTCCTGACTCTAGTCCAGGAAACCAGAGCACAGCAGTAGATTTCAACAAAGTAAAACTGAAAGCCGTGATTGTCTTCTGTTAAAAAAGAAGCCACAAATAGTAATCTTTTCAGGGGATAGGTTTTATATACTTTTAAATATAATTTTCTAGATTGCTCATGATTCAAGAAGATCCATAAAAAAGTAATTACGTGAAGCACACACACATATTCCATTTCTACTTTACCGTGTAGAAAAGACCATCTTTAGTGATTGAACTATAATCTTTTTCGTGGTCTTTTAAACATTCTATTGCATTAATCATCCCCCTTTTGGGTTCTAACTCTTTTTAAGTCAGCCATCAAGTACAAGGGTACTTCGAAAAGTTTGTGGAAAAGTAAAATTAAAAGATAACGTGAATCAGGGCCAGCCCATGGCTCACTTGGGAGAGCGTGGTGCTGACAACACCAAGTCAAGGGTTGAGATCCCCTTACCAGTTATCTTTAAAAAAAAAAGAAAGAAAGAAAGAACATGAATCTTTCCATGAACTTTTTGAAGTACCCCCATATATATCCATTTGTACTTTGAATTACTAAATTCTTGCTTTATCTTTTGTTCTACTTTGAAGGAATGTAGGGCAATTCTTCAATGAGTAACTCTTTTTTTCTTTAATTTTAGCAAGACAAAAAGGTGTCAATCTTTACCCTCTATTGCAGAAAAAGTGTGGATGGAAAATCCAATGAGAAATGTCTTTCCTGCAGCAAATGTTTCTTGTACCACCCTCTTAACATAATTTCCTTTGTTTCCATAGATTGTCCAAAACCTCCAAACATTCCCATGATCATGTTGGGGGTTTCGCTGGCTATTCTTCTCATCGGGATTGGCCTACTGTGCATTTGGAAGCTGCTGGTGTCATTTCATGATCGTAAAGAAGTTGCCAAATTTGAAGCAGAACGATCAAAGGCCAAGTGGCAAACGGTACGTGAACATTTATGGCTCCTCCTTGTCCAAGGGAGAAAGATCCTGGTGGAAGATGGGGAGCTCGGCTCTCTTCTGCCCTAAAAGAGATTTTAAATGTCACGTTTTTTCTCTCCCACCCTCACCATGATCTCAATGGCTTTGGTTTCTGTTCTTCTTCGGGGGCAAAGGAACCTGTGCTCATTATCTAGACCCAGATGGCCTTCATAACATATGTTTGTCTCTCAAAGCAGGGGGGATTTCTGCCACTCTGAGGAGTCTTGTGAAACTCCTGATGTAGCTACTTAGGGCCATCGAGGTAGTATATCTTATTCAGTACTTCTTAACCACCAGGAAGATTCCTCCTTTATCCCATTTGATAAAGCATAGATGTTGTATCTGAACATTTCCATAAATCAGTTATGTTACAGCTAGTGGAACACTCATGAATAGTAGGTCAGTTTATGCCAATTTCCATGGAAATACTTGTTGCTGGTATAATACGTTACAACATAAGGTTGAGAAGACTTTCTAAATATCAAGCAGTTCGTTTTTCTAAATAACAAATTTTGAGCAGAAAATAAAGTATCAAGCTTTATACGTACTCAATAGATAAAATTTGTGTCCTCTCTTTATAGGAGGCAAACAGAAACAGGACTACAATTTTCTGTGTTTCTTTTCCACAGGAGAGATAATTGCATTTCTAGAGACCCATAGAAATAATTTCATGGTTTTAATTTCATCTCTCTATCTCTAATAGTGTGTCCAACTATCTAATAGCAATTATCTTACATTGCTGATTCTAAAAACAGTGATATCACGGGAGAAGATACAGGCAGACACAGTGCTCCTTTGGGTTCACCTGCCTAAATAAATTGATGTTAACACTTTTTTCCTCTAAGTCTATAGTGATATCTTCAATTCCTAAAGCAAATGGAATTTTACAGTTTAGATATATTTATCTTGATAAGGGATTATTATATTTTATGCAGTTATTTCAAACTAATCACAATGTATGGTGTAGGACAATGAACAATGAAAATTTTTATCTACTCTATCTTCCCATTAAAAAGGCCTTTAGACACAATAACCAAATGCAATGCATGGATCTTGTTTGGATCCTGACTTGAACAGTCCAACTGTAAAAATACATTTTTTAAGACAACCAGAAAAAGATTAATATACACTGGGTATTAAAATGATAGCAAGGAAGTAGGGTTAATTTTATTAGGTATAATAATAGCATGATGACTTTGCTAGAAAATATCTATTTTTTTAGAGATGCATATATAGGAATGAAAAGAAATGAAGGCTGGGGGTTGCTCTTAAATAATTCAGCCAAAAGAGAATGGTTGGGAGAGATAGTTGAAGTAGGTGTGGAAAAATCTTGACAATTGTTGAATCTGAGTTTTGGGTCTCTGGACGTTTGTTATACAAGCTTTCCTCTTTTTGTGTACATATGGATTTTTCATAATGAAACAAAATTCTTCAGGAAAGTAAATTGAGGCTTTGCAATGAGGGTATCATTTATCCATCACTAACAATGTAAAATGTAACCTGACAGGTTAGTTTGATAACTTAGAACATAGTGTTCATGAGGCCAAACTTGTGGGATAATTAATGTCACCTGTTCCCATGGCCACAGATGTTATGCTAAACTTTCACCAACTGTCAAGCAAATGCCTGGCTGTGATCAGAGGACAAACAGGCAAAAGAATGTGGTTAAGTTGGCACAAAGAGCAATAGCAACAATTAGTGGAACAATCACCAGCCCCATGAAGTAGTCTTGGTATTCCCATTTTGCAAGTAAGTAAACCGAGGCTTAGAGAGGTTAAGGGGATTCTCAAACTTTTGGTGCATGGTAGAGCTGAAACCCTAACTGTTAATTTTTCTTTCAAGCACAGCCTTTGATTGACCCTTCTAGAAATAATAAGCGGGTATTCCACAAACAAGCACTTGGGCAATTACATGCTGTGTGTCTGCTAACTAGCACATTTTAATGTTCTCATGCAAAGGCATGAGTACTGACAAACGATTAATATCTTTAAAATAACATTTTAATTAACAGTTAATTTTCCCCCAAACATGAATTCTTCTCCTTTAGAATGTAGAACATGACTGAAATTCAAATGCCAAATTTTTGCTGTTTCTTCATCTAAAATGGAACAAAAACATGCATTAAACAGATAAAAGCATAAATGGAAAATATTATTCCCTTGTTAAATTGAGTTCTTTTGAATAACAAATGTTTGATGTTCCTGACTAGATAATGACTGGGTAATAATTATTCACTTGAATGCAAAAGAGGTTTAATTCAAATAATTCAATCCAAATTTCACTAATATATCCTACTGGAAAAAAAAAGTGTTGCTCGGTGCATACATTTAGGGGTCTTCAATTTAATTCAGTTTTTATCTAAAACTTATTTCTTTTTCAAGAAGTGAATTTGACTGGTCTTCAAAAACCCAAGGACAATCAGGTCTCCTGACCCATAAGGCCCCATTGTACTATAAATGTGACAGAGCTCAGGATGGGAAAATCTCCACTTTTGCCTCCTAAAACAGTTCATCATAGCTGCAAAGAAAGGTTACCTTTTTATTACACTTTTAAAAATATGCCCCCCCGACACACACACATATTCTTTATGAAAACACACAAGGAAGATATTTAAATTCATCTTTGATTAGACATTCTTTCTAGGATGACAAGTCATTAACTTGAGGCAAAAAAAAAATGTTCAGCTTGACATTTCTTACAGTCATGGATTGATTTTGTACTGTGCTAAGCAAATCAGGTCTGCATTTGGCAGTTAAGCAATCACTAAGGAAGCTGTGGGTCATGACAGAGAGTTTTCTTATTACCACTTTTTCAAGCTTGAAAAACATGCCATTGTGTTTGCAGAATCCACATCCTAAATTAGCATCCCGACTGCTGGGGGAATCAGCCTGGTCACCCCAGATGGTTAGGGGAAAACTGACCTTGCATGAGCAATAGAGTGCAGCCTCACTGGAAATGGAGCAGGACCCAAGCCTGCATCTCAGCTGGAAATTCCATGTAGGGAGGTTGTGACCTCCATGGAACTAGAGGAGGCAGTACCGCACTTTTCCACACTTCTTCCTGACAACAAAACCTGAGTTAAGTGCATTCTCCTGAGCTCTGATCATCAGCTGAGGTTAGGAAACACCCTACTACACACACCCGCAATGGCAATTTATACTTGTCCTCCCACCTTACCCCCTTACTGTGGTGGCGTCTGCTTTATCCATTGCCCTCTGTAAGCAATGACGTGGCTCTATCACTAGCTTTGCAAGAGACCCCCCCAAATTTTGCATACCTGAATAAATGAAGTGCTTTAAAATACAGAATGAAAACTTCACAATCAAAATTAAACATTCAACTAAATATCTACAAAATAACATTGTGTTATTCTGTCAATTGCAACTCAGGTCACTTCCTTTATAGTGCATATAAATTATATGTAGTGTGGGATGTGGGTGCATTGGGGCGGGGCTTAAAAACGAGTGCCTGGTTCTACAAAGATCTAAGCTGGCCCTGCTCACAGCCTGTTTACTCTTTCAGAGTGTCTTCTCTGTTCACTGAGGCTCCCTCTTCCTCCAAGACAGGCTTCACCTGTCACCCCCAGCCCACACCTCTTATTTTTTTCATCTTGCTTCTTCAATTAAATCCCTTATTCTTCTGTAACCAACTAGCTTCTACTCTCTTAACTTCATAGAATTCCAGGCATGATTTTTGCTTGCAAATGAGACGCCACCTGCATTTAAGATCAAATCAGTATGCCCTTTGCCCTCAAAATCACATATTCGTATGGTGGCAGGACTAAATAGGGACTGGAGGTCCCTCAGAATTACCCAGGCTGATCTCTGGAGTAGAAGCAATATAGCAACTTGACCTTCACTCATCCTCCACCACCAGCTAAGAAACCTCTTTTTTATTTGCCCTCATTACAGAGATAGCATCTATCTCCAAAGGCACATGAACAGAGGTAACATGTCACTGAGTCAGAGGCCAGGCCACTGGCTCTGGCAACATAGAAACAGGTGCAGGTGTGATTCCTCCCAATGAGGGCACTGTGGCAAATCCAAGGGCAGTGAGTGGAAGAGGCCAGGGAATATTTTCAATTTTATTCAGTTCTTCTGAAGCCTGAAAGAAATGTACTGAGAAAGGTTTGTTTGTTTGTTTGTTTTTCAAATCTATGACCCCAAATTACTACCATCTCTAGAATTCATGGGATAAAGAGACCAAAGTATAAAATTTAGTAACTCAAAGGGTGAAAGGTCATACCTGGACACCATATATATTCAGAAATTGGCTTGAAAATGTGGAGACAACCAAATACCTGGAGGGAAATATCTTTATAACCCTCTCTAGGACATGAAAAAAAAAAAAAAAAGGAAATACCAAATGTGAAGAAAAGCTATAAATAAAACCAAAGAAGAGGCAGCATTGATTATTTGCTATGTGCGTACGTGCCAGACACAGCACTAAGGTACTTTACCTCATGAACAAGGGAAGCATTTTGTTAATCCCTCTTTTATAGTTGAGGGCACCAAGGCTTGGGGTGCTTAAGAAAGTCACATGGTGGTGCTGGGTTTGAACCCCTGTCTGATGCCAAAGGCTGTGTGTCCAACCTTGGAAGGAGGAGAGAAGAAATTGCAACTTGCCCAGACCCCTTGCTCCTGTCTGGAACTACTAGAGAGGCTTGGTCTTTCTGGCCACAGCACCACTGCTGTTGGCACCTGGAGACACATCTACAACACACACAGCACAGCTGCACTGTCCAGGCATTGGCTCACAACCTCCCCACTGCCCCAAGGGCAAAGCCATTTTGCCCGGCCTGCCTCGAGACCTCCACTTTTTCATGAACCCAGAGTCCCCACACCAGTCTCTTCCAGTTCTCTGCTTTACACACTGCTGTATCTAGTAAGCAAAAAACAGCTGGTTCTTTTGCTATCCAGAGCAGTGTTGCCTGTCCAGGGAATCTTTCCCAGCTCCTCCCAAGCAGCTAGTTGCTCTACCTTCTGAGTTTTGATCTCATTTTAACAAGATTATTTGTGCCCTTGGTGAAAGCAGCAATACATTTCTTAAAGGCAGATAACTGTGTCATTTGTTTTTTGTTTCTACCAGTTTCACTTTTCCCATTTTTTACTTTTCATTTCACTTTTGGTTCATCTGTCAGTGTTCATTGTACTCATTCCATAAATACTGAGTACCAACCGTGGGTAGGCACTGTTCTCAGAGGTGGGAACACAGCAGTGAACAAAACAGCCCGAGTCTTGTGTTCTATCCATGAATTAGTGCATTTCCAAAAAGGGTAAAATTTTTAGAATACATATAGGGGACTGCATATTAAGAAAATAAAATGAAGATGTATAAATTTTAAAAGGCTAAAAGTATGAAGTATCAATTTAATCAAAATTTTTCCAGTGGCTTTCAAGATTGAGTTTGACTCTTTGCTTCCAATTTGAACTATAATGAAATTATTTAAAGATATTAAACAATATAATAACAAAATGTGCATACTTTCATTTGACCTTTTTTTTTTTTTTTCAGGGAACCAATCCACTATACAGAGGCTCTACTAGTACTTTTAAAAATGTAACATATAAACACAGGGAAAAACAAAAGGTAGACATTTCCACAGATGGATAGAAATACTTTATGCATAGAAGAAGTCTGTTTCACTGATATGAAATGTTAATGCACTATTTAATTTTTCTTTCTTTGTTGCTTCAAAAGAGGTTGGTTTAAGATAATAACAGTTCTTTTGGAGATCAGTCATTCTCTGTATGAAGGTGAGAGACTATGTTGGCAGGTTCAAAATACTTAAGAAGAGGAATGTCCTTAGCAAAGAGGTGACTTTGGGGATCATTTGAGGAATACTAGCTCTGTTGCATTAATGCCTCAAAAAATCATCAAAATGATTCATGGGGGCCTGATTTGAATTTGAAAAATGTTTGAAATTAGAGTCTCATTTGTTTCAGGAATACAGCTACCTGAAGTCTTTGTCTCAGCAAAGTCACAAAGGCCATATGCTCACATTGTATACCCATACTTGCCAATTAATTCTAAACTTACAGTAAATCTGCCCTTTCCTGAAGGAGGATTTTTTTAAAAGCCCATGAGAAATAAGATTCTGATTTTACTTAAGCTGAGATGGTGCAGTTCTTCCAAAGATATCCCAAATGTAAGATTTAAAATTAATTGTATTAATAATTTCTGTGAGTTTGTATGCACCTCAGAGTCAGGTACACAAAAAAGTATTTTATTTGTTTTACAGATGAAGAAGTAATTTATAAATTAGGAACTCACCAGTTAAAAACAAAAATAACAATGCTATCATTTAGCTTATTTTTAAATTATCTGAAAAATTATCTTCTATGCTCATTTCCTTCTTGACCCTGAGTGTTCAAATTATTACTTCTCCCATATTTCTCAATCAATTTCATTCAGTTTCACATTCAAGATTTTAAGATTTCAAGATTTAACTTGCAAAATACATGTGGACAATTAAGGATCCATCAGTTGATTGAAGAGATAAACTCTGCAGAATATTATTTCTTATGGTTTCTACTGTTTTACAAAGCACTTTCATCTCATTTGATCCTCATTAGGAAACTAAGGCTCAGAGAGTGAGTAGAAGAACTGGGTTCAGAATGTAGATTTTCTGATCTTCTTTCCTCCAGCCACTGCACAAGAATGCCTCTTTTATCAGTAAAATGATACAAAGATTGTGTTAGTTAAGCAATAACTATCATTTGTTTGAAAATGTACTGAGACTAAACAAATAGCACTTAAACTACTGGAATACAGCTGAGGTGTTGTACTTTTGTGCAGTGCTTATTACCTTGGATTAAATTGTAAAGTGAAGCCTTTTACTAGGTGAATAGTTCATTATATAGTGGAGGCTTCGAGATTGTCCATTGAATTGTCATAGTGTAATCTATACGTTTCTTCAGTTCTCCCAGATAGATCTGTATACATTTGATCACTTAAAGACTTGCTCTTTTTTTGTGGTCTCTAAATAACTCAGGTAAATCAGATATTTAGGGAATATACAGCTATTTGGAAAGAATTACCAAATGATCACGTTGGAAATCTGAAGGATGATGTACCCACTGTGTTCCTGACTGAAAACCCAAACCTGGAGAAAATCTAGAGCAACATACAAGCTGCAATACTGATGACACAACACTAGCATTCACTGTCTACGTGGGACTTATTGTAGTATTTTCTATTATTACTGGAATGGGATTTTAGAAAATAGAAGTTTCCTTTGTGTGTGTATTAGGGAAGGTAGAGAAGAATCTGCTCTTTCTCTGAATCCTGTTTTGACCCAAGGCGGGACCTTGAAAAGGCCAAAACATTAACAGTAGTACTTCTGTTCATGGAAGAGTAATGTTACATGAAGATAAAGTGGTTTTTTTTGTAAGTTGTTTTATTGTATTTTGTGTTGACATAAATAAACATGGTAATTTAAACAATGAACCTTAGATGGGTGATCATTCCTTTTATTTACTTTGTACAAAACCCTCTTCTTGGATTTCTGGGTCCCTGTGTGACCTTGTTGGACTCAGACTGGGGCCCAGGAGAAGAGCAGAAAGAGGCAGCTACACAGAAGGCAGGAGGTAGCAGGGAATGGGCTGGAATTCGCTTTGTGATTACAACACTTATACTGTGAGACGTTTCAAAACAGGTCTGTACTTTACCCCACATTTTGTAAAGTCAAGTTCTTTAGGGTTAGTGTTATGGGATGAAATGTATCGCCCTCAATCCCCCCAAAATTTGTGTATTGAAGTCTTAACCCCCAGTGTCTTAAATTGTGGCTGTATGATTGGAGATAGGGTCTTTAAAGAGGTAATTAAGATGAGGTCTTGCAGTTGGGCCCTAATCCAGTATGACTGGTGTCTTTATAAGAAGAGGTTGGGATAAAAACATGCACGGAGGAAAGACCGTGCAAAGACACAGGGAGAAGATGGCCATGTACAGGCCAGGTAGAGAGGCCTCAGAAGAAACCAACCCTGTTGACACCTTCTCAGACTTCTAGCCTCCAGAATTGTGAGAAAATACATTTCTGTTGTTTAAGCTGCCCGGGCTATGACACTTTGTTATGGAAGATCTAGCAAACTAATACAGTCAGGTTGTGCTAATTTTCTGGGCATCCATTTGGTAGATTCCATGATGCCATGCTCATTTTCTAAATCAGGAAAATTAGGCATGGAGAGGCCAAATGCTCACAAAAGGAGTCAGCTTAGTCCTTTTCTTGGAAAGGTCTATTCCTTACCAAAGGACAGGCAAAGTCAAGTCAAGAATACTCATTCTGAAACACAGTTTCTTGTACACTAAAGGCCAGAAGTTTGCAAATCCAGAAACTGCTCCCAATTTGACTAGCACTGAGAAAGTCACTTTTCTCTGTCATTTTTCTATTTGTAATTTGGTAGCAATGCCTGTCTCTTGTAGCACCTGTAACAATCCCTGACACATAGTCAGGACTCAATAAATTCATTCAACAAATATTTATTGAGTGCCTAGTATGTGCCAGACACTGTTCTTATGATTATGGATATAGTTAGTGAACAATGAACAAAACAAGCAATCTGTAGTCTTCCAAGTGAAGGGGAACATAACGAATAAGTAAATATAATGTATCAGGGTACTAGACCCAGTTTATGCACATTCAGATCCACCTGGCTCCACCTGTCTCCCAGGCTGTGCTGGGAGTCATCCCAGCACCAACTCACAGTCCCCTTAGTAGTAAAGTCCCAGCTTCCACCTAACTCCTCATGGGTGGGGGAGCCACAGCAATTCTTGTGCCCGAGTCTAGAGTGGCTTCCTTCCCCCCGGCTGCTGAACAGACCAGGTAAGACAACAGGAAAATGTGGAAGAGTTAACACACGAAGGAATGAACATAGATCTGTGGGAGAAAGAGATGGGAAGGAAACAGCAGATGAACTGGAAGTGAGCCACCAGAGGTGTTTTCCAAGGAAGCAGTAGCCAGCTTCCTAACACACCACTTGGTATTTCCTTTCCCTCATTCCTGCCTTCCTGCCCTTTTCCCCTGGGATGGAATGTCCCAATAAAGCATTAGTACATAACGTTGCTTCAGGTTCTTGTTTTACAGGGAGACTGGAGTAAGATTGTCCAGTCTGCATCTCGCAGATTACAGAACATACAGCTGGACACAAAGCAGCACAATGCCCCTAGAGGGTGCACCGTGAGACAGCGCTGTCACTTCTGAGCAGAGACCTGCAGGAGGCAGGGAGGGAGCAAGTGCACAGGCCCTACGAAGCACTTAAGAAAGAGCAAGATGGTTAGTTGGGGGAGGAATAATACTTCTTTAAAATTGAATTGGAATGTTTAACTGAGCCATTAAAACAAAAATACACCTTTGTGGACATAGTGATTTAAGGTTCTGTGAAGAAAAGCTTCGCAATTCCCAGTACCATTGTTCAGTGATTGTACCCACAGGAGTGCAGTTCAAATGAATCACCGAATAGGCTGCTAGAAAACATCCCAGTGTTTATATTTAGACATGACACTTACCAAATAAGGTGGCCTGGTCCCTATTCACTCTTGCACTACATGATTGATTATCAACAGTTATGTGACAGCCTCAAAAAATATTAACATGTGAGTATTCCCAGCCTTTTCTTCTTTACCTCTAGGAAAGAAAACTTTTATGGCTTTTTTTTTTGGGGGGGGGGGGCAGTTTATTTTCGGTCATGACAACTTCCACATTGCTATTTATTGTAAAGGATTTGGGTACTTAAAAAAGATTTTTTCTTAAAAAGAATGCAAGGCTTAACTGAGTGAACCTGAGCCAATGAGATGAGGGAAAGCTTATCCGGCTGGGTTTGGGGGAGAATTTGGAAAGTTTGGGAAGAGGAAGGAAAAAAGGAAAGTCTTTGGGGCAGCAGCTATATATGGCGATATTGAGAATGAGATATAAGGGGTGGGAGGTGGTTGCTGTTCACTTTAACTGTACACATGCTTTTGAGGCTGTTGCCCTGGCTACCACAGCCCGCAGGGTCTAGCTTCAAGACGAGAGCAAGCTTACCCAGCTCTAAGGGGGTTTCAGTTCTGAAAGGCTACGTGGTAGGTTCAATCTGGCTCAGGTTTCCCCTTCAAGACCCTTCAACACTAGAAACACCGGTGTTCTGAAATACTCTTGTGAAACCCCCCAAATAGCGCATGTTGGACCCCAAAACCTCCCAAAGAAACCCACTATCCTCCGATTTGCTTTCTCTCCTTCACCTCTCAACACCTATTCCTTCCAGATCTCCTTGAGAGGACATGGTACTAGAGAAGCAATCCCACCAATAATATTCTACAATTACAAGAGAAAGTTGACCTAAAAAAATATATTCAATTAACTGTTGATGATTGTAGAGCTACACGACGTCGCCATTTGTCGGGCTCTTTTACCTGCCCTAATCCTGCCGACTGGGCCAACTGTCGAGCTACGGCTGGGTCTGGAGCTCACAGACTCCTCAAGCCCATTCACAGACTGGGTCACAAACCTTTCACATGCCAGGCTAGGTCACCAGACCCCACACACACCAGGCTGGGTCACCAGACCCCTCACACGCCAGGCTGGGTCACCAGACCCCTCACACGCCAGGCTGGGTCACCAGACCCCTCACACGCCAGGCTGGGTCACCAGACCCCTCACACGCCAGGCTGGGTCACCAGACCCCTCACACGCCAGGCTGGGTCACCAGACCCCTCACACGCCAGGCTGGGTCACCAGACCCCTCACACGCCAGGCTGGGTCACCAGACCCCTCACACGCCAGGCTGGGTCACCAGACCCCTCACACGCCAGGCTGGGTCACCAGACCCCTCACACGCCAGGCTGGGTCACCAGACCCCTCACACGCCAGGCTGGGTCACCAGACCCCTCACACGCCAGGCTGGGTCACCAGACCCCTCACACGCAGGTCTATGAGCTAGGTAGCCAGCAAACAGGTCCTTGGGAGCCGTAGGTTGGAAAGGCATGGCCACCTAAGGCAGTAAACTCCAGCCAAGGTGTGCAGGCACATTAACTCCACCCACACACAACCTGCCCACAAAGAATGCCCGAGGTGAGGGGGCCTGATTAAATTGTTCTATCTTCCCAACAATGATTCATAAAGATTTCATATTATTCTCATTTTATGGCAGTCTAAATGGGGGAGGTGGGGTGGTGGAATCCTTGTTCAGAGAGAACAAGAAATTAGGGTTGAATGAAAGGTGATCAATAGAAACTCTGCTTTGTGTTAAAGTTCATTATATTGCAACAGACTAGTCAACACAGCTAAAAAGCAAGAAAACTGAAGTGTT